GGAATGAAAATTTTCTCCAGGAATAAAAATAATTAAAAATTTAACAGCAAAAATTAAAAATAAATAAATAAAAGGGTGAGATGCTTGTAGAGAATAAGAGAAACGACCTTAACAGAAATATGCAAGAACCAATACCCAGACAAAGAGGGGATAAAATCTTTTTTGAAGTCCTGGGAAGCAAGTTTATATTCCAAAATGACTCAACTTCCTGATTCACTGGGATACATGAAGAAGGAAAGATTTTTTTAAAAAAAGACTTGCAAGATTCAATTAATATAGCATATCTCAATAAAGTATAGTTTTGGTATTCCTGTAGAATTGATTTTCTGGTTTGGTATGCCTAATGGGGTTGAAAATTCAACCCAAGAATAAATGGGTTAAGACAATGGGTTAAGAGAAGAAGAAAATAATATTATACACGGTATAAACAGAAAGTAGAAGTTGGGTAAAACCCAATGCACATGTCACATAAATCATCTGTACCTTTTTGACCTGAGAACTTAAGAGAAGCTGGACTGTACATGACATTCTGACAAAAGTGGTGTTTGAACTTGACGAAAGCAAAGGATGATTTACAAGAATATTCAGAGATATAGTGAATGATGTGGATGTAAAGTAGAAGGGGGTGATATGATATCAGTGTTACAATATCAGGGGTGGGCTTCAAAAATTTCAGCAACACGTTCTCTGCCCAGTTGCTGGGTGGGCGTGGCTATGGTGGGCATGGCCTAGTTGACCTACTGCACTACAGCAGGAAGGGGGGGCATTTCTGGCCTTCCAGAACTTCCAGGAGACCCGTTTTCCCCCTCCCTCAGTCTCTGTGCAGACCCTGCACTTANATACCGCTTCATAGGGCTTTCAGCCCTCTCTAAGCGGTTTACAGAGTCAGCATATTGCCCCCAACAACAATCCAGGTCCTTATTTTACCCACCTCGGAAGGATGGAAGGCTGAGTCAACCCTGAGCCGGTGAGATTTGAACCGCTGAACTGCAGATAGCAGTTCAGCTAAAGTGGCCTGCAGTACTGCACCCTAACCACTGCGCCACCTCGGCTCATTCAAAGGATGCAGATTACCAGCTTTCTGCAAGGAATATAAATCTTTCCATTCCCCACTATCCTGTCAGAACTGAAGAAGCTTCTTGGATGAGCAGCGAAACGTCTTCTAAAGAAAAAAAAAACAAGAACGCCCAATTGCCTCCTGAAAAAGCACCTTTGGGATTTATTCTGATAAACCATCACAATGAACAGGAGGGAAAATAAAATGAGCTTTTGGTCAAGTCTAGCAGGATCCTCTTAATTCTACTTTCTAATTCGGGCATGTGAACTTTCTACATGAAAAAGTGAAACCATAGGTAGATGCAGTGGTGGGATTCAGCCAGTTCACACCTGTTCGGGACAACCAGTTGTTAACTTTCTAAGCAGTTCGGAGAACCAGTTGTTGGAAGAAATCTCTTCCCCCCCACCAACTTTACAGGGCTAATCCTGTAAGGAAGGCAGGAAGGAAACATTCTGATGTTGTTTCTAGCCTCACCTTTAATGCCCTGATTGCAGAAACTGTCTCTCCAGTTAACCCTTATTGCATTGCAACAGCTAAGGCGAAGCGCCCATTGACCTGACATTGAGTTGGCCATGCCCACCCAGTCACATGATCACCAAGCCACACCTACCCAGCTGGTCATTAGGGCAGAGAACTTAAATTATTTGAATCCCACCACTGGGTAGGTCAGCATAAGAAATTCTGAACCATACGCAAAGCATCTCAAGAAATTGCAAGAGTGAATGTGTTAATTAAGCTCCTGCCGGAGGAAACAATTTTTTTGGGTGGCAACCACACCTCCTACCTAACATATGATATGCATATTAGTTACTGGTTTTCACTTCTAATGGAGAAGGGAAATGCTTGAAGGGCTCCATAGTTTAATTACTAGACTGAACAACCAAAGTTTTACTTGATGAACCTGAGGGAATTAAATTTAAAACAAGGAATCTTTTCTTGATCTTTGAAGCTTCTCAGTGTAAGTGAGAATGAAATATTAATGTCTTCCCTTCTAATGAAGAACACGCATTTTAATTTATTAAATGATGTACACATGCATTTAAGTATTTGTTCATTTATGTTTTTTTTTCAATAGCTATAGAAAGTTTTTGTTAGAAATGGAAATTCTTTTAAGATCAAATCAATGATTGTAAGTTGACTGAAGGACAGCGAAAACATCTTTAAGTAGGTAATTATGCTAAATGAGTCTAGTTTTTATTTTTTTCCTCCAGGAAGTTATTTTGCAGAATGCAGAGTACAAGAAGGACAGAGGTAACCACATCAGCAGCCCATTTGGGAGTGTATGAACATGAGAAACATTATTATATATTTGTTGATTTAGAGCAGGGGTGTCAAAACCTGGGAATTTAAAGACTTGGCTGGCTGGGGAATTCTGGGAATTGAAGTCCACAAGTCCTTAAAGTTCCCAAGTTTGGACACTCTTGATTTAGAGAAAGCATATGATGAAATGAATCGAATATCCTGTGTGAATCTGGAGTTGATATTTGGTTGCTGAATGTAATAAGAATGGTATATTATGACGATAAAATATGAGAATGAATGTGATGCTTTGTGCATGATTTAGCACCAGGCAGTTACATAAGGAGCTATAATGTTTTCTTGATTAAGTATTGATGGAAAAAACAATTTAAGGAATATATATGCTCTTGCCTGAAGTTGTGAATATCTCCTGCAGTTTTGAATGCACACATTGACTGAGAATCATAAAATAATTTTCAGTCAACATTAATATAGTGTATGATGCAATACACTAAGGGACACAGTGGCTCAGTGGCTAAGATGCTGAGCTTGTCGATCGAAAAGTCAGCAGTTCAGCGGTTCGAATCCCTGGTGCCGCGTAACGGGGTGAGCTCCCATTACTTGTCCCAAGTTCTGCCAATCTAGCAGTTCAAAAGCATGTAAAAAATGCAAGTAGAAAAAAAGGAACCACTTTGGTGGGAAGGTAACAGCATTCTGAGCACCTTTGGTGTTAGACATGCTGGCCACATGACCACGGAGATGTCTTCGGATAGCACTGGCTCTCTGGCTTTGAAACGGAGGTGAGCAGTGCCCTTGAGTTGGGAACAACTAGCACATATGTGCGAGTGGAACCTTTACCTATGATGCAATAAGAGCATGATTCTGAACTTGAATGCATTAAAGCACAACATATTTGACAGGAAAAATGCAGTGAATAATTGCAGATCATATTAAATATGGTAAAAAAAATAAAGCAAATAGATTATTTTTTGTATCTTGCAGATGAGCATTAAGCTGAGTCCAGTGTCTGGGAATTTATGCTAAGATCTGCCACTGGCAGCCAAGTTTATGTAAGATGAAGAATGGATGGATAATTATTAAGATGTGCACAATCTGCAGAAAGTCAGTGAGGAATATTTGGCCTATTGTGAATAGTGAATGCTAAAAATAACAAAAACCATGTAAAACTATGTAAAAGTGTCAACAGATGAGAATTTCTGCTCAGGTTTGAAGTGTGGAGTCCTTGGTGTCTCTTGGAGCTTGGTTGTTGCTGAGGTGGAGCCGAGGTGGCGCAGTGGTTAGGGTGCAGTACTGCAGGCCACTTCAGCTGACTGTTATCTGCAGTTCGGCGGTTCAAATCTCACCGGCTCAAAGGTGACTCAGCCTTCCATCCTTCCGAGGTGAGTGAAATGAGGACCCAGACTGGGGGGGGGGCGATATGCTGACTCTGTAAANGTCCTGCGCATGCGTGGAAGTGCAGAACTCGTCAAAACCGGGTAAGGAGTGCGGGCAGGCGGATGGCCCTTCGCTGTTCCCGGAAGTTAGTTACTTCCGGGTTCGCTGACCAACCGGTTCGCAGGGACCACCGCGAACCGGTTGAAACCCACCCCTGATGTATGCTAATCCTTTTGTTGACTATCAAATCTCATATCTTTCATAAGTGTCTTTCAAAGGTTGAATTCCTCCTGTTTAATAAGATTGAACTCTGTCGTTGCCATTTAATTGCTGAAGGAGGAGCCAAATCACAACATTCCATTTAAAAATAATTTCTGTAATATAATTATAGCATTTCCCCCACTGATGTTATACTGAAACATGGTAATTCCTTGTAGATATTTTGAGCATGTCTTTGGCAATGCAAAATAGAAATCTAATAAATAGGATGGTGTTATTTTGAGGAGCTGCTCCATAGCAAACAATAGCACTTAGACCTCTATACCGCTTCACAGTGCTTTTACAGTCCTTTCTAAGCAGTTTACAGAGTCAGCATATTGCCCCCAACAATCTGGGTCCTTGTTTTACTCACCTCGGAAGGCTGGAAGGCTTAGTCAATCTTGAGCCTGGTGAGATTCAAACTGCCAAATTGCAGTCAGTGGCAGTCAGCAGAAAAAGCTGCATTCTTAACCACTTAACCTCGGCTCTTGATACGGGGGAAAAAATAAGTACATATCATCATAGTGTTGTAAGAAAATAGGGCTAGATCAGACCAAAGGATTATCTCCTCCAGCATTCTGTGTCCTCTAAATTAAGGATCCCCAACCCTTGGTCCATTGACTGGCACTGGCAGGCCCCAACCATGCAAAGCGAAGCCCCATCCGTGGGATGCAGGCAAATCCATGCCTCCTCCAGGCCACGGAAAAACGTCTTTCCACAGTACTGGTTACTGGTGCCCAAAAGGTTGGAGGCCACTACTCTAAATATTGCATGTCAAAAACTCATCAGCAGGAAGTGAAGAATATTTTCCTCTCCTACTCAAAATTTTACAATGAATAGCATTTGGAGGCAGGTTGCATGTGAATGTTAGCGGACACTCAGTGTAGTTATCATTATCCGCGGTGAGATGAGGATATTTTTGGTCCATGAGCTTAAAGTAAATCTTATTCTGAATGATGACTACTGTGACAGCTGCCTTTACATGCTTAAAATGCTTTCCTTAAAATGTAATACTGTGTTTGTTAATGATAATGATGTCTTTCTAATGTAGGAGTGAGAATCTGGAACTCAGAAAAATGGTGATGACGGGAAGTAAGGAAAGCGTGAAAGCAGAAAATATAGAATATGCCAGCCAGCAACAGGTAAGAAAATTTTAGCCTATATTGAATCACATACCCTGTGCTGATAAAAGTTAGCCTCAAATTGCTTGAAGTTATCTCTCAGTAATGTGAGCCTAGCTATATCTGAAAGTCAGCTTTACAGTAAAAGGGATAGATTTTTAAAAAAACTAAAGGTAACATGTATTTAAAACTAAAGGATGAATATAATCTTAGCTTAAATATCAAATAATCATATTTTTTCATCTTTTGACGCAATGCTGCAAGGGTGTGTGATTTAACTATAGCATTTATTCGGAATGTAGAATCTTTAATTTTAAGAAAAAAATGCATAACATGTATTTTACTAAATGCATATGGAGACAGATTCAGGATCAAAATCCAGTGGTTTACAATAAATAACAGATAACAAAATCAAAATAAAAGAATAATATCTTAAATTATAAAAAGGCTACCAGTCTCGCCCATCATTTCCTGCAATGAATCTCTAAAAGGGAGGAATCTTTTATGCTCAATAATTCCTGCTTTCAGAAATAGAAGATTTAAGGGTATTTATGAGAGAAACAGTCAAATGGCAACTTCTCTTATGAGGTCACTGGTATTTTTAACCATCTCAGTTCTGTCATGTGCAGGATGTTGGGGGAAAGGTGGAACTGAGATGCACAGTACCTTAGATTGTAGATTTTGGAAAAAGAAGCGTAGATCCAACTTCTGAATATTGAGCTGGCTGCTTTGGATGATTTCTCAAGGTCTGATATGTATCTGCCTTTTAGAAGGGAGCCACAGAGGAGCAAGCAGCAGGGAAGAGCTTGGTGGGAGCAAGTGAGAAGAAAGTGAAGATACTCGAACATCAACGCAATGAGGTAAGCCAAATACAAGGTGTTTTTTTCCCCCCTTAGAATTATAAAGAGTTTATACCAGGTGATAACTGCTACTAGATAAACAGTAGAGGTTATTTACCTTCTACTCCAGAACTATTCTGAATAATCCTCCGGATTCCCAACCTGTCATGTTACTTGCTGTTCTTGCTTGTTTATTTATTACATTCCTAATCCAGTGATGGCTAACCTTTTTGGTGCCAAGTGCCAAAAGTGTGCATGCATACATACATAATGCAATGTGCGCGTGAGCCCTGCCTGTGCCCTGCCCCCGCACATGCACGTGTGATCCCCTGCATGCACCCCGCCCATGCATTTGCGCACAACCCATATACACGCACCCCACCGCCCCATGTACATAAGGACGCGTCTCCTGCATGCGCCCCCCATGCGCAGCAGAGACCCAAAAATCAGCTGGATGGCAGGAGGCGCACGCACATACGGGGAGGAACTGAGCAAGGGCGATGGCTCGCATGTCCGGAGAGAGGACTCTGCGGGCACGCGTGCCATAGGTTTGCCATCATGGTCCTAATCTAACCATCACCAGAGCTCTTCCTAAATGTGTCCTCTAAAGTATATCCTCTGCTTTATGTAATCCCTCTTCCTGTCCAGGAAAGCCTTGGAATAGTGATAACTAGCAAGTTTAGCAGTAAGGGTGATACCTGAATGACTCCATGCAGAATATAGGGCTACTGATTTAAAAAATAAATAAAAAGAAAGTTATGTTTCAGCCTTGTGACTGCTTGCGTCAGAGGAGGAAGGCTGTAAGGGGATATGTCCAAAATAACTTGATGCATTTTCTTTCTCTCTAGCTATTGGAGGTGAATAAACAATGGGACCACCATTTCCGGTCCATGAAGCAGCAGTATGAGCAGAAGGTAATGACAAAGCTCCCGGGCAGCTCTATCTGAGATGTTTTTGATAGCACAACACAAGATGAGTGTGGCCTTGTTCTTATCCAAATGAAGGAATACACAGGAATGCTAGTTGAGTCATAAGCTGAGTCAACAGTGCTATCTGTTTGAAATCTGCTTTAAGATACTTTTCTTTTATTGGCCTGGGAAGATATAAACACTTCCGGGGATTTAAAGAAGAGAAAAGAATATTACACTTATCAGAGCTGCTAACTGTAGACTTAGAAAATATAAATCCAATAATACAGGTATGCAGTTTTGTGCTTTAAAAAAAATTGTATGTTTATTTTTATAATAAACAATAATATAGACAGAACAAGGTATTGCAGGTAGTCCTCAACTAACAACAGTTCATTTAGGGATAGTTCCAAGTTACAGTGTCGCTGAAAATAGTGACTTATGACAATTTTTCAGAGTTACGACTCTGTAGCATCCCCATGATATGTGATCAAAATTCAGATGCTTGGCAACTGGTTCTTCCCTTTGACCGTTGCTGTGTCCCAAGGTCATATGATTATCTCTTGCAACATTTTGACAAGTAAAGTCAATGGGGAAGACAGTTTCACTTAACATTTTACTACCTTAACAACTGCAGTGATTCACTTAACAACTATGGCAAGAATGGTCATCAAATGGGGTAAAACTCATTTAACAAATGTCTCAAGTAAAAACAGACATTTTGAAGTTCAATTGTGGCTGTAGGTTGAGGACCACTTGCATTGTAAAATATGTCATAGGATCTCTGCCAAATTTTATGCACTTATTCCCCAAATTGCATATTAAATGCAGGAATGATTTAAAATTATATATACACACACACACACACACACACATGTATGTATGTATGTATGTACCATGTAAATTGGTTTTAAAATGCATGATGGTGTTTTTCATTTTTAAAAATTTCCATCCCGACAGATAACAGAGTTACGACAGAAATTTGCTGACTCCCAAAAGGCGCTAGCTGAGTTGGAGGCAGAGCGGGAGCAGAAACAGAGGGATTTTGACCGCAAGCTTCTCTTGGCAAAATCCAAAATTGAAGAAGAAGAGGTATAGTCCAAAATCCCACTTGGAACACATTTGTGTTTCTTCCTAAAACAATAGCGTTTGCATCGGATTTAAATCTAAATGGGTTGACAGACAGGTAGCATTAAAAGCATGTTTCTTTTACGCCCGCCTTCAGTTCCTCTGTATTAACTCACTATGAGAATGTGTCTCCAATCCTTAAAAATACCAAGATGCAAATAACAAAGCTGACATTCAGAAAAGATTATTGGTAGTAGAAAGTGGTGACAGAATCAGTCATTTCTATATCTTCTACAGGTAGTCCTCAACTTACAACCATTTGTTTAGTGATTGTTTAGTGACTAAAGTTACAACAGCAATGAAAACATCGGCTTTTGATTCTTTTTCACACTTACAACCATTGCAGCACCCATGCGGGCACGTAATCAAAATTCAGACACTTGACAACTAGCATTTAATTATGACACGTTGCGGTGACACCTTTTGCGACCTTCTGACAAGCAAAGCCAATGGAGAAGCCAGAGTCACTTAACAAGTGTGTTACCTAATTAACACCTGCAGTGATTCACTTAATAACCATGGCAAGAAAGGTTGTAAAATGGAGCAAAACTCACTTATCAAATGTCTCCCTTAGCAGCGGAAATGTTGGGCTTGCTTGTGGTCGTAAGTCGAGGACTACCTAAATAGATCTCAGTTCATTAGGCCTTGTAGAGATGAGCAACACATAAAGTACTGCAAAGGCCTGCCATCTGGTGGACAAAAGAGGCTTTTGCAGCTCAAATTCTACAGTGCTGTAGTAACTACCAAATTTTTTTTAAAAAAATCCATGGGGAACTCTTACTTTTAGATTCAATTTTTCTCTTTGTATTTTCTGGAAGGTGCTTTCCTCTCTTGGGACCTTTTCTCTTTCTTTCCATCAGTCTTAATATTGCTATGTGTGGTTCAGGACACAAATGAGACACCGAGTACCCCCCCCCTTTTTTTTAGTAGATAGGAGTTTTTCTATGGGGGGGGGAGATATTTGAGAATGACAGTTATGACCCCCAGTTGCATTTGACAGGTATTGAAGCTTCAAGGGCTTTTTGGTATAAACTGACATGCTCGTGAAGGCAGACCCTGTCCTTAATCCCCTCACGTTTCTTCTGAAGTGGCTTTCAGGCAGGAGAGGTGGTTCATTGTTCCACACCTGATGGGAATGGGAGGGAAAGCTCTTTCTCCTTTTGTACATCTTCCTCTCCCTCCCTTCCACTCCATTCAAGGCAGAAAAAGAGAGACTCAGTGGGGAGGTGAAGGAGCTCAAGCACAAGGTGAAGTTTCTTCAGGATCAGTTGGCGCCAGTCACAAGGCAAAGAGAGTACCAGGAGAAGGAGATTCTCCGACTAAATAAGGTGGGTAGACCTTATTAAAGAATTTAGAGGATTTGTACCTGGTTTCTCTTCTGCTTTTTTTTTAAAGCTGTGTGAATCTTTTCCCTCCAGTTGATGGTCTTTCCAAGGCAGTAGAATGATGCTATATCTCTTGCCATTGCTGCAAATAACACATGTTATGCCAGGGAGAGGTTTCTGACAATCCCTTTGTTTTTCCTCAGGCCCTAGAAGAGATTCTGAACTTCCAAGCACCTCCTCATTCCCCCTCAGCCTTGAAAAACCCTACTGATCCTAGCTCAGGTCTCCGGCACCAGGAAGTGGTGACCCAGAACGAGCTTCTGAAACAACAAGTAAGCATCAAAGTGCTTGACTCAAGTGATTCCCTTAACAACAGTGGCAAAAAAGGCCATAAAATCAGATGCGACTCATTTAACAACTGTCCTGCTTAGCAATAGAAATTCTGGTTCCAGTTGTGGTTTTAAGCCAAGGACTGTCTGTATTAATACTGTACTAGTTTCACTGGTGGATCGCATTAATTGACTATTAGTATCAGAAATAATATTGTTAATTGCTTTAAGTGGCATTTTGAAAAATTGTGTGTGTTGTATCAGTTGGAAAGTATGTTGAAAATGTTTTATCTTTAAAGATAATTTTTTAAAAAGTAACAACAGGCAGTTATTATTGTATTCACAACGTTAGTTTTTTTTCCCCTTCCCTTTCCCCTTTCCCCTTTTTTCCCCCTTCGCCTTCATCCTCTCCTCTCCTCTCCAAAAAAGAATATTGGGAAAATAGGCTAAAAATGGATTAAACCAGAACGGAAAGTATTTTGTGAATTTAGAAGGAAATTTCCTTTGTCAGATGACCATATGCTTTACAAAACTTATGACAGTGGTTTTGAATTCAGGCTTCTGCATTTTGTGTTTTCCTGAAATATGTAGAACATGTAAATTTGGGGGTGTAAGTGTCTGATTCTAGGATTTAAGACCCTCTCTTTCTGCCAGGTGAAGATTTTTGAGGAGGATTTCCAGCGGGAGCGGAGTGACAGGGAAAGGATGAATGAAGAAAAAGAGGAGCTGAAGAAGCAGCTAGAAAAACTTCAGAAACAGCTGACCCTGACTAATAATCAGGTAGGAAACCAAAATAATAATCCTGCGTTTGAAAGCCCTGGTGATCTAAATTTAATCTCTTCCATGGAATCCCTTGAAGATGGCTTCTATGGGAGAGATGAAATCTAGATTATTGGTCCTGATTCATGCAAAACTCCACTCTGTTGAGTAATCTAAACTAAATACTTTTTGTTATTGTGATATGCTTACCAGAATCTCCAGATAACTGAGATACAGCTTTCTGAGCAATTATCAGTTGCTTCTGGTGTCTTCCCCTATTTCTTGATCCTTTCAAGCATTCTCCCCTTCCCTCTTTATATTTTCTCTTGCTCCCCATTCCCCTCCTAATCCTAGCCACAATAGGTTCATGGATAGGCTTGTCTACCCAAATCCTCTCTCAATCTCCTTCTCCTGTGTAATACCTGCTCTCTTAAATGAATGCATCTCATGAGTTATTGTTTGATTATGTAGTTCTCCTCTGCCACTTGTTTTATTCTTAAAGAAATTGAAAATTGCACTAAAGGGCATACTCGGGCAGCTTTTTAAAAAGAGGTTTTAAATGGAACTTGAAAAGGCAGGTCAGTAAGTAGAGTTAAAAGGTGTTTAAATACTTGCTTTGTAAATCACTCAAACCCATAAGAATTTGTAGTTACTTATTAGAGAAAATTACTCTTTTGGTCAGTGCAATTTTTGTCAGGACAATTTCATGTGTACTTGTACTAGTCTTGTCTCTTGTGTTACCATCCAATTTCATTTGTTCCCTATGAAAATATTCTCCCTCTCTTCCAAGAGGTATAGAATAAAAATAACTTGTTACTGAGTTAATGGTCCACAATGGGCACCCAGAATCTAGTTTGGCTAAACTGCAGATTTGAGCAGAATACTTCTATTGGTCTGCTTGTTCTGAGTTCTAGAATGCAATGCTCATGGAAGCCTATATTCTTTTTTCCCCTCCTCTTTCTCACAACAGCTGCGAATCGTTAAAGAGGACTGCCATAAGGAGAAGGAAGAAAAGGATAAGTTTAAGAAACTGCTTAAACAGCACAAACAGGTATGGGATACTGTACTATGGAAATGCAAACGCCAGTTGGCTTAATATTATGGCTTTCCAATACTGAATATATGTCATAGTCGCTTGACATGGTCTATCAATTCTGCATACTGCATTATAATAAAATCATATCTAAAGTCAGGCTGGACTGATCTAAAGACACCTTCCCTAACTTGTGCACTGCTCAGAAATGTGGACCTCCATTTTCAGAATAGTCCAGTTACTCTGGCCATTCCTAAAATTCTAGGAATTGAAGTCCAATACATTTGGAGAGTGTCCTGTTTTAAGAATTTATTGAATTTTGTTTTATATAGTAAGATGGTGCAATTTAAATTATAACCAAGATCAGGCCTAATTTGTTTTGTTTTTCTTTCTTGTCTTGGTCTTATGGCAGTACTCTTCCCCCCATCTCTCATTGTCGGTCTATCATCTGTCAATAGAAGGGTGTGCATATTTATATGCTGCCTATTCTAGTGACGATTTTTTCTTCCTTATCCTAGGAATGGATTGAATATTGCACAGGGGACATAATGTTTCTTCAGTTGGTTTTAAAAGGGGATAAAAAAGAAACAGGCCAAACCAAAACAACCTGCTTTGATTAGGTTGATAAATCATTAACCTTTATAAACTAGGATTTCCACAAAGGTCCTTCATTTTCAACTTTCTGCTTTCTCTCTTGCAGCATTCTGGTGACAGATTGCATCCTGAGCCGCAGCCAGGACAAATCACCCCAGTCTGCCCCATGTACCAGTTTCAATGCTCTCCTCCAGTCCCACCTCCCGGTTATCGTGGTTTTGAGGAGTGGCAGATCCGGTACCCACCACCAGCGATGGCAAATGAGCATCCTCCAGTTCAGAATTATCATCGTGTCCAACCTGTGAGTTAATAAAATGTGAAGAATCAGTGGAAGGGACTAGAAGCAATAAGAACAGCATGTAATTGCCAGGCATTTTCTTCTATCTAAAAGAAAGGGGGAAAAAATGGGTAGAATTGGAATTCTCAGGTTCTCTGTTAAAATTTGTGTAGAAGGAAATACAAGAATGTAAACTTCCTTATTCAACAATTGATGCTTTCTTCTATTTGCTGCCATTCATTATGAAGACCTGGGAAGTTTCTAGTAGAAAATATACAACAGAGATGTTCCAATTCAAACTGTTATGAGATTGAAACACCCCTTTTCTGATTTAAAACGTCCCATCTTTAAGCATAAAGCAGTTGTCTGATGTACATATTTGTCCATTTTGGCTGAATGATATTCAGTCCTCCTCATGAGTCCCAGGAAGCATAAAACAGCCAATTTCCCATGAATATTTGAATATTCATGAAAATGAATATTTTTCATGCTTGAAATAAAGCATTTCATGCTCAAAAGAGTGGTGGAGGATTGAACTTAGAAAAAATTCAAATTGAAATGAATTGCAGCTAGTCCTCAACTTGTGAACATAAATGAACCTGGAAGTACAGTTGTAAGTCATGATTGTCATTAAGTGGGTCACCAGATGACTACACCTGATGATATGACTTTATGACTGCTAATTTTTTTGAAACGACCATTGAGAAAATGTTGTGGTCATAAAGCAAATCCATTTTAAACAATGGGTGTTTTTTCCCGGAAGCAGCAGAAAGTAAACACCAGAACCCATCAACCTCCCCTGAAAATTGGGGTCACATGACTGTGGGATGCAGCAAACAGCTGTAAACATGAGCCAGTTGCCAAGTGCCAAAAATGTGATCATTAGGAAGGGGAAGGGTGTTGCGACTATCAAAACTTCAAAATCATAAGTAGCTCTGTTGTAACTTTGAAGGGTTTCTAGGTGATCAGTCATTACCTAGTCACCTAATGAGAAGGAAGGACTCACTGGAGAAGAGCCTAATGCTGGGAAAGATTGAGGGCAAAAGAAAAAAGGGGTGACAGAGAATGAGGTGGCTGGATGGAGTCACTGAAGCAGTCGGCATGAGCTTAAATGAACTCCAGAGGACGGTAGGGGACAGGAAGGCCTGGAGCAACATTGTCAATGGGGTTGCGATGGGTCAGCCATGACTTCACAACTAACAGCAAACCTGTACACATCTCTATTATACAGTATAGTATTGTATTTTTATTTTTACTTTTCTCTGCTTCTTATAGCCAGATTATACGTGGTTTCCGGCATGTGTTATAGCACACAATCAGAACACACAAGGAGGGGATGGTGTGAAACAGTTTACCAAGGAATCTGGTAAGAGCTTTCTATTTCTTTCACGGCATACTAGAATATCTTTTTCAGTGCTGCTGTATTTAGCTCTCATTTTTAGGATCAATTCGCTTCTTAATGGATTCACGAGGGGAATTTTGGCATGACAGTGATTTGTATATCGTTTGGAGAGTCTTCACAACTCTTTTAAATTAGATCATTATGAGTCTGTCTTTCAGACATTTCCTTGATTTGATCTCAGGGTGCTCTAAGTTCATTCTAGTTTGGTTGGGTGTTTAAATCTAGAGAGAGAAGAGCCATCACTTGCAATTCTGAGTATATACTTTTCTGCTCTTTTATAGCTACAGTGAATTCTTTAACGTGTGCTTTCACATACACAGAAAGGCATTCAAACTTTTCTGTATGTCAGTTATTGTATATCAGTCAAGTCATTCTGAATTCCAAAGTTGGCTTTGGAAACGAGAGTATTATTTCATAAATGAGAGAGAGGATTTGGGTGACAAATCCATATCACCTGGAATGCTGTGTAAAGTTAGCAAATCTTGAGTAGGAGAATTAGGGCCTTGGTAATACAGGAAATCCTCAATTTACGTCCACAATTGAGCCCCAAATTTCTGTTGTTAAGTGAGACATTTGTTAAATGTGTTTTGTCCCGTTTTGCAGCCTTTCTTGCTACAGTTGTTAAGTGAATCACTGAAATTGTTAAGTTAGTAATCCGGCTGTTAAGTGAACCTGGTTTCCCCATTGACTTTCCTTGTCAGAAGGTCGCAAAAGGGGATCACTTGACCCCAGGACGTAGAAACTATCGTAAAGAATGAACCAGTTGCCAAGCAACCAGATTTTTGATCACGGGACCATGGGGAAGTCGCAAAGGTTGTAACTCTGAAAAATGGTCGTAGGTCACTTTTTTTGGTGCTGTTGTAACTTTAAATGGTCACTAAATGAACTGTTGTAAATTGAGAACTCTCTGTAGAAGATTTGAAAACTACTTTAATACATATGTTTGCTTTTCAGACCCTACAGGTCTCGGCTTAACTAAAGCTCAAAGACCCGTTTAACTTTGTGGTGATACGTGTAAGATGCAGAAGCAAAACAGCATCATGTGTTAATCCATCTCAACACCTTTCCTTCTGGACATTGGTCGTCTTTATTTGCTTATTAAAAAAAGATCCACGGCACTTGGATACTTGGGGATAATAAGCAGAATTTTCTAAAACTGAACGGCTACCAAGAAGCAACCGTGACCTAGAGTTTTTTGGGAAATCTCTCTTTTTGAAATCGCCAGGTCTTGTTTACTCTCGGCATTTGATGCTCCTGCATTTAAGGATTCAGCTGTAACAGAACAACCATTGAGGCCCAGCAGTGAAGACTAGGAATTCTGGATTGACAGGACCTATGTTGAGCTGATTCTCTTACAGTTGGGCAGCTGTATATCTAGGATGTGGCAATTTTGCATTTGTTGGCTGTGGAAGCATGCTTTGGGCCTGTACAAATTTGGGATTCAGTGTTCACCCAAGGACAGAGGAAAACAAAAAATCTTCCTGTATTTGTCTAAATAATGTATAGGAATAAGAATGAAAGATACTTTTCCTACATTGAATGAATTATATATCTCTATATATAATAGTCACATGCACATTAAAATTTGCAGTTGTCAATAAATATTTTTGCCCCACTGAATGTTAATTTGAGTTGAAAACTGTTTAATACTGCTTTAATTACCCTTCTACCTACCCCTAAAATATGGCAGCCTTTTTTGCTCCGTCTTAATTGGAATAATATACCAGTTTATCATCGCATGCATGTTGCTTAACAGAATTATATATGTTTATTTAACCTGCTCAGTGGAAAATGGCTTCAGATTTCACTTCCTTGGTTCTGTTTCGTCCCATTCCTAGTTACTATTGAACCTGACTGGTGGACTAGATAGATTTGTTCCCTGATCTAACAATTCAGTTCTAATTTCCTTTTGTTAGTGAAAGGTTATCTTTGGCTCTCCCATGATTTAAGTGGGAGACAGGTATGAGGAATGGTCTTTTTTTTCCCAGATTACTGATCTCTTGGAGCAATCATACGAAATGCTGAACCAGTCAAGCATTTTTCAAAATGTGTAGCACTAGAAGTGACGTAAATTTCTTGTTACAATTACATGCTGCTCTCAAACATAGAATATAAATGCTCATTTGAAAACAGACTTCATGTTCACCAGTAAGCACATAATTGAGAAACAATTGAGTGTTTTCTTTTTCTTTATGAAATAAAGAAAAGGAAAATTAATTTCAGAATGTTCACGGTGCAAAGAAAATGCAGTGTTTGAAGAATCTGTAAAAACCTCTTTAAATAAAAACATTTTCACTGAGTTTACTTTTTGTCCTAGGTCTTTCAATTATTATAGAATAAATTGTAGGAAGATGTGAAAGAAGAGATATAATAGGATTTTTGGCCTGTCTACGCTAGGGGTGTCAAAATCAATTTCATTGAGGGCTGCATCAGGGTTGTGTTTGACCTCAGAGGGCTGGGGGGGTGGGAGGGAGCTGGCCATGGCCACGGTAGGCCTGATACAGAACCATATCTCCGTACACATGATATTATAGAGTATAAAAATAGAGAGACATACATTTCTGTGATTTTGGTTTTTTTTAATACTTACTTGATCTACTTGATCACCTTATGAGAAAGAGACCAGATCAAGAAATTGACTCCATAGGAAGACTAGAACTATAGTTTATTGACATAGGCTATAGTAGCAGAATCCTGCAAGCCTGAAAGATAAAATATTTTAACTTTTCTTCCCTTTTATAACCTGAGTGAAGGATGGCCTCCTGCAGCATTCCAAAAGTCCTGTTTTGGGCCTGGAAGGCCTCCTGCAGTGGCCAAAACAGTTTGCAGGGGAGCCCATTTTTGCTAGCAGAGTCACCGCAGGCCCAGTCCTTTGCTATTTCCAGGCAGTCCCCAAGGGCCAGATCTAAGCACTTGAGTTTGACACCCCTGGTCTACAGTCTCTAAATCAGTGATTCTCAACCTTGGTGACTTTAAGTCTTGTGGACTTCAACTCCCAGAATTCCCCAGCCAGCTGTGCTGGCTGGGGGATTCTGAAAGTTGAAGTCCATAGGACTTAAAGTCGCCAAGGTTGAGAAACACTGCTCTAAATGGAGGCATCTTTATATAACATTTTGAGAAGTTCTAAGTATAAGTTTTCTTTATGTATTTATGCAGGCCAATATTTTACCAACTATATTCTGGTTTCAAAAAAGCTTTTGAAAAATTGTATAAAATTACCTTAACTGTTCTGACCCCCTCCCCCCGGCCTGTGAATAAACCAGAACACAGGCTTGGCTATTTGCCACTATTTAATTAATGCGATAACAAATCCTTTGGCTGAGGGCCCAGGCAACTCACGTTCAAGATAATAGGTTGGCAGCAACCCAGAAAGTTCAAATGAAGCAACACAGATAATCCACATGACACGGCTAGAATACAGACAGATTTATTCAATACTAGTTCGAACGGTTGTTTCCTGCAAATGTCCCCTCCCAACGCCTTACTTATAAACCCTCTTGGGAGGGGCCCATCCACAACCACCTGTCCGTAATTGTCTTCTATGAATTTGCCTACGGAGTTGCTTGCATTTCTCAGCCCTTCTCAATCGAGCATCAGGGACAAGCTGCCTTTGATCCTCCCCACTGCTCCATGCCTCAGGCATCTCCTGGTGGCCAAACAGCCTCTTTGGTCCCTGTACTGAGTCTGAACCCTGCACAGGATCCTCCACATCTTCCATGGCAGACTCATATGGTTCCTCACTATCCAAGTCCATCAGCAGCTCAACGGGATCCTGCTGGGCCACAACGCTTATCTATATTCAGTTTAATAAAATGCAAGTTTTCATGGGCAGTGCCTGGAGTTCTGTATCTGAATTTTGTTCTTATGAAATATTTTCCTTGTAGAATGCTTGTTTTTATTGCATACCTTTCAGATTGCTATGAAAGGAGACAGAGGTATGTGGTATACCCCCCCCCAAACAATTCCGTACAATGTTGGTAAAAGGGAAGGAAAGTGTTCATACACAGCTGGATCTTTTCTTCTCTTTGAATGTGGATATTATTATGAAAATTAATTCAGGGGAAAGCACTGCTGCCTTTTCTACCCTTAAGAATTTGTGGTTTAAATCATGAAAAATATATTTAGCTTAATATATCCCGTTTCCTTGAAAATAAGATCTCCCCAGATAATAAGCCTAATTCGGTTTTTGAGCTAAAATAAGCCCTCCCCTGAAAATATTGCAACGCAGCAGCAGCCATGAGGTGACCACCCTTGACGCCTCCTGCACCTCAAAAATAATAATGAGCCAAGGTGGCGCAGTGGTTAAATGCAGCACTGCAGGCTACTGCTAGATCAGCAGGTCAGCGGTTCAAATCTCACCGGCTCAGGGTTGACTCAGCCTTCCATCCTTCCGAGGTGGGTAAAATGAGGACCCAGATTGTTGGGGGCAATATGCTGACTCTCTGTAAACCGCTTAGAGAGGCCTGAAAGGCCTATGAAGCGGTATATAAGTCTACTGCTATTGCTATAAGACCTCCCCCAAAATAAGACTGACTGCATATTTCTGGGGTTAAAAGAAAATAAGACCCTGTCTTATTTTTAGGAAAACACGGTAGTGTCTTCATACATGTGCTTTTGGTGCATGGCATCTTGGCTCCAGCATTGTGAGCGATATCAACCTAGAAATTCTCTATTCAACCCTGCAAACATGACTGCTAACAGATCTGAGGTATCAAAATCCAGAAAAACTTCTAGAAGGCACGAAAAAAGTGCAGCAGACTATGATGTCATTTAGTGGGCATCCTGCAGCTCATATAAAGCAGTCTTTTTCAGCTTCTGCCGTTGAATATGCAATGGTTGCCTATATAGCTTATATATGTGTATGAAAGAGAGTGTGTAACTGTATACACACATCGCCTTTCCAAGAAGCAATACGATGTATCCGATACGGTCAAACCTAAAATCTCGATTCTTTCATAATATGAAAATGGTTGCATGATGAAAGTAGTAAAATGGAAGGTTGAACTGCATTGAAAGAGTCTCTCACAACAGAAGTGCACTGAGAATTAACTGTTTTTATTAGGCAGTGTTTTTAGACAGAAGATGTGAAGGTTAGAGAGGCTGGGATCTTGGGAATAAAAGGAAGAAATACATCTCTGCAAAGGTTGTAGTGAAGTAGCCGAATGCACTAAAGAGCTACTCCACTGCCTTACAGTCTTAGGCCAGGTCCCACTCGTAAAGAGTTTTCAGATCTAACCATCATTCTGATGCATTTTCCTTGCCCCAAAATCCTTTGTCCCCTATTTTCCTCCACTGTCAGAAAGAGAGTTATTTAAGAAATTCCAGTTCATAAATTGTCCAGAAGGGGTCTCTATTCTACATTTTGAGGAAGGGAGGTAAACTGTACTTTATCCAGAGATGCCAAAAGTATTAATTTCATCTATATTAGAGATGAAATTTAACTTAACAAAATTAAGTGGGAAACCCTTAATGAATGTAGTACTTCATGTTCATCCAATGTTAAAAATGTGTTTAAATTGCTAAAAATAAACTAGATTGACTTTAATACTGTGACACAATAGGCCAGTGTTTAGCTTGTAATTTTTTTTTAAAAAAATAATAATTTTGTTATCCCAAAGATGCTTTTTCAAGATGCAACTGGACTTTCTGTTTTTTCTTTGAAGACATTTCACTTCTCAGCTGAAGAAGCTTCTTTGATGAGAAATGAAACCTCTTCAAAGAAAAACCAGAAAGTCCAGTTGCCTCTTGAAAAAGCAACTTTGGGACCTATAACTGAAATCTCCATAGACATCTTAATTTTGTTGTTTTTAAAATTTGTACAGTATATTCTGCATCAATATGTTAATAATGAAAGGGAGGAATAGTCTTCTTTAGTACCATAATATACTAGAGATGCAAAAATCAAAATATCATCTTGATCTTGTTACTCATGCTCAAGTTACAGAAGTTTGAAGCAGTATCAGAAGTTACTAAAATGGTTTCCCAATACATATTGCTTCCATCCTGCTATCATTGAGTAAACTGAGATTTTATAAAGTTATGCTTGAAAATAGGTTAAGATTAAGAATTTTGATATTAATATTTAGAATTATTAGTATGTAAATTGGCACCTTGTAAGGCAAATTCTAACAACCCTATTTTAGCTTTGAATAAAGGATATTTGGATGTTCAGTTGTTTGGCAGAAGAAAATGAATATGTCTGGATATGTCTACAGCCTGCCTCCCCCCCGCCTGAATCCATCTTCATTTGTATGGAGTCTATCCATTTATGTTTTTCCTCATGTATCTTATGATATCATTCTTTACAGTGGAAACATTTGTCCGGTGAAACCACCTCATCACCGGCTTTCCTTGAGGATCAACCAAAAATTTCTCAAAGTTCCACTTAATGTCATGGATCTTCATAGGTGTCCAGAAGAGTCTTGCTGGGTCACCAAAAGTTTCCACAACTGGTGGACAGGAGTTCTATAGGAAAAACAAAGTTAAATTTTTGTTAGTGTTTTTAGAATTGTATTTTTTTTCATCTTTAATCTAATGGTCATAGGCTTGATAGCATGGAGAGAGAGATAAATTTAGAAAACTGGGAACAAAATCTATAAAGACAGCATACTTTGATATTTGAGTTTCTAAGGCTTATAGTCAATATTTATTAGAAAGTTACCAATACAGGAGAATATTTGTATCTCAGGGTTGAAATGAAGAGTCCTTGGTACTCTCTGAACTTGGTTGTTTTCTTGCAGACATTTTATTACCCATACAAGGTAACATCATCAGAGATGTTATCTAGTTTGGGTAATGAGATCTCTGCAAGAAAACAACAAAGCAAAGGGAGCATCAACAATCCTTATTATGAAGTTATATATTCTATTCCAAGCTGATTTCTTGTAGCATTGTAGAATGATTCTTAAACTCCAGCTATCCCTTACTTTCTAAGCAATTCCTTCTTAATTTTGGTTTGCGTAAGTAATACACATATTTTGAGTTCAACATTGCTCTGTCTTGAATAAGATTTTCTGCTGCATTAAGACTTCAAATTATCACAGGGGAGAAAGTTAATTTTTTACTAATTCTCTGCAGCTCTCCAGTATCACAACACCCAGATTTTCCAGCCCTCCAGAGGAAATTTTTGGGAGAAATAAATGAAAATATGAGGGAAATTTTTCCCACTATCCACATGCCTACAGAAACATTGCATAAATAGGTGAAATTTTAAGATTGAGGCATTCGAAGTTTGTCCTTAATATCTTCCAAATCTTATTGTCCATCATCGGTGAAACATGCAGCCAATACAAACCTTCAGGAAGGTGTAAATTTTCTGTTCATTTTCCCCATTTACTTCAATTTTTTGAAAGAGTTGGAAATTGGGGACAAAACCTCCCCCTGGCCTGACATGTCTGGAACAAAAGAAGAACATTATTAGAACCTTTCAGAAAGAATGCAGTAAGAAACGACCTACTTTGTTCTGAGGGGAACATCTCACTTCTACGTTAGAATTGATCATTAGTGCCTTTGCCACCAAGGGCCCTTGTATCTGCCTGTGCAGCTATTAATATGACTTTTTAAAAACCATTGCTTGGAGAAAAGTTCAAAGAGTTGCATCATGGGTAAGAAACCTGCAGTGCCCATTATTTTATGTCACAACCCTTGAAGTCCCAACAACTCACAGTATTGAAACTGAATGTTAAAAAAAAACTTTTGTAATGATGTCAAACAAAAATGACATGTTTGGTATAGTGCATCTAATCCATGACAAAGTTGAGGAACTTCCTAAAAATATGATTTGTGAAAGTATCAGCTCATCATTCTACTAATTTACCAGTCTTCAAGTATCCCCAAAATTACCCTATATAAGTGTGGCCCATGGGTACCAAATTCTCATCTATTCTTGGATGAAGCGTTCCATTGGTTGCCCAATTTTCATTAAGATGCAGAAAGGATAAATATAATGGCTGGTTCCAGACTTATAAAAGCATAAGAAAACATTGTTTAATTAACTAGCTGAAGTTCAAGTTATTAGTGAAAATACTAAGTGGCTTTCTAGTGTACAGGAAAGTAGTTCAAAAGAAAACAGAAAAGTTTTCACCTTAACTTTTGGGAGACACTGGTTTTCGATGAAAACAAATTCATTTGCCAGAATCCTACAAGTAACTCCCATCTCTTTCTTCTCAATAAGTCTTGTGAAAGAGACTGAGATGTATGCTTGGAGAATAATCATTTCTGGCTTAGGAACAGGTCAAAGAGTCTAGCAATGGGAAAGACATAGGCTACCCAAATACAAGCCCATTAGGGAATAAATGGTAAAGCCACAGAAGGAGACAACCACCTAGCTGTTGGGAAATCTGGCAAAGCTAACATAATCTTATATGAGTAGCATAGCCAGGAAGGCATTTCTTGCATAAACTCACTTTATTCCTTGAAGGATTTCAGAATTCTGTCCAGGTTCTTGTTTTCCAAATTGATTGCATGGGAAGCCTAAGATGACCAGTCGGTCAGGTCCCAGTGTAGTTTGTAGTGCATTCAGTTCTGCGAGATAAAGCAATAGGATACTTCAGCAATAGGACTCTACTTTGAACATCCTAACAGGTAATGAACGTTTTATTGAGCATTGCTGAACTTTCGGTAAGGCATTTCACACAGCCACAATCTTTGCCTTCTTAATTTGAAACGACATTTTTTAAAAATCACAGCATACAGCCTAGCAGCTCTTTTTCTCCTTGACCTGACAAATCTTCATGGTGGCTGTAAAGGAGAGGCCTAAATAGGCAATAAAGAGATGATCCATCCCTATCTTGTTCTTTCTCAAGGAAGAAAACTTTAAAAACTGTTATCTGACCATCATATGGTCAGCCGTGGTGGCACAGTGGTTAGAATGTGGTACTGCAGGCTCCTTCTGCTGACTGCCGGCTGCCAGCAGTTTGACAGTTTGTTTCTCACCAGCTCAAGGGTGACTCAGCCATCCATCCTTCCAAGGTTGGTAAAATGTGGACCCAGATTGTTGTGGGGGGGGTGACTCTGTAAACAGCTTAGAGAGGGCTGTTAACAGGAATGGGCTGCTGGGGGTTCGCAAGGGTTTGGGAGAACCTCTAACTAAGATTCTGTGCAGTTTGGAGAACCCCCAAATCCCACTCCTGCCTGCTTATTTTACCAATAGATTGTGTTCAGGCATGAGTTGCTGCCAGCGTTACTGCTGGTTCACTTCACATGCGCTTTGCCTGTTAATTGTTCTGCACATGTGCAGAACATTACAAAATGAATAAAAAACATGCCAGCAATGGCATGGGTGACCAGAGAACCTGTTTGGGGGCATGGCTAGCCAGCCAGCCCTACTGGTTCGGCGACCCAGTCAAAATGTCCACTACCGGTTCGCCCGAACCAATGTGAACTGGTAGCAACTCACCTATGATTGTGTGAGTGTGCTTCTCTTCCTAGCTCAAGTTCTTACCAAGATATTGTGCTGTGAGTCCTCAGAAAGTGGCCACATTTACAAAGAGGATATACTTCCCCACAAAATTCCGGAAGGCGATGTATTCACCAGTTATAGACAGAGCCCCGTAATCATGGGCTGATCCTTGAACTGAGTCATAGCAATCCACCTGGAAGACAATACAAGACATAATAGTCCTACTTCCATGAGTTTTAACATCTGGTCCATATTCCCACACCAATTCCAGTTCAGTTCAGTATCTTGTCTCTAACCCAAACTCCAGCCACTGAAATGAAACAGGCTGTTCAAATTTCATCAGAAGCTTTCATTAGTAGGAAAAGCAATGTGTTGGGGCAATAACTCAATATATGTTTCCAATAATACTAATAAGATCTTCTCCTTGCAAGACAGTGAATGTGTAAAGGGCAAGAAGCACAATCTAGGAGCAGGTGGATATAAGAAACATTTCAACTTAAAGGACGAAGAAAGAGGCTACAACTTCTCTCTTTCATGGAACTACTTCAGGAGGTTTCTAGTACTAAGTCAGAGGTTTAGAATAACAGAGTTGGAAGGGACCTTGGAGGTTCTCTAGTCCAACCCCCTGCTAAGGCAGGAACCCCTACACCATTTCAGACAAATGGTTGTCCAATCTCTTATTAAAAATTTCCAGTGTTGGACCATTCATGATGTCATGTTTAACTTACCAGCTATATATGTAAGATCCATGGAAAGAAAAAAGAAAAACCTTACATCAGCTTTCCTCTACTGGAGAAAAGTGTTAAACCATAATTTTCAACCATAATTCCCAGAAACCATTGTCATTATGGGAGCTGAAGTCCAAGGTATTCGGAGTGCGTCAAATTGAGAACAAACCATTCTGTCTTTAACTGCTTAATGCTTTGAAGCATAGCTTCCTGCCATGTGTAACTACAGTTAAATATAACTATAGGTTTGGAACAGTGGGGAGTTTGTACTGGTTTTACTACCAGTTTGCTCCTGCGGCTGGCTGGCTGGCTGGCTCTCTCTCTCTCTCCCTTTCTCTCTCTCTCTCTCTCGACACGTCTGCACATGCGCAGAAGCGTCCCGGCAAGTGGGCAGAGCCTCCCACTGCCTCCACTACTGATTCAGCCAAACCAGGAGCAACCCACCTCTGGTTTTGAAGGTCAGTAGAAATAATAGGAACAGAACTGCATTTTTTTTCTTGCGTCCTTTCTCTTCACCAAAAATAGTGGCATTTTGTTCCCATTAAAACATTTCCTTTGATAAATTGTACAGCAACCATGCACACAAATCTTTGTTCCATTTCATGCACTTTTTTTTGTTTTCCTTTTACCAAATTGTCAAAATAATTGTAAACATGATCCAAAATGAATGACTAAATTTGTAATTTGAGATACCGAAAAGCTGGAACTGATGCCTCTTCATCAACATGACAGTTTTGTCTGTTAGGAAGACATTAAAATGCCTGGGAAACATTTGTGGGCACTGCATGTTCAGCCTCAGAGGAATTTCATATCTTAAAGAAGTATATTAATAAAATATGAAAATTCAGAGGCTTTGGATTAATAAAATATGAAAATTCAGAGGCTTTGGATTATTCCAGATATTTATATTCAAAAAAATTTAAAAAAATAATTAATGCATGCTGGACAAACACCATATATGTTTAATTCAGTTTTAATAAATAAGGATTAAGGTTATAAGATTGCTTAACATGCTAAGTTTGAATATTAATTTAACCTGTAGTTCCTTATTGTGTACAGTGCTTGCAGTAATGTGTGCAATATCCCTTGACATCTAGGCCTAAGAATGATGTATCTGGTATGTCCAGAAGTAGACTTTGTGACTTATGAAAAAGCTAGATCACAAAGTCAAATTTCTACGCTTCTAAAATAATATCCATTTTGGGGCCAGTGTCATGGTAAACTTGGACGTCTAAGCAATCTTCAGTTAAAGGATAACTCGACAACATTCATTTTCTCTTTACTCAACCTTTGTAGTTTTACAGGCAATGTATCAGTCCGTAAATTACACAAATTAAGAAATTTTAAAACCTATAGCACATTACTTCAAGTCTCTTGTTCAGAATATTTTATTTCAATTTTTATGTAGCTTAGCAAACTTGTTTTTTATTTGGGAGGGAGATTTTGGCATCTGACACTGATCAGCGGGCAAACTGAAATAATGTAAGTTGCCAGCCAAATTTCAAAGTTGCGATTTCATACTATTGCCTTGACCTAATTGTTTTTAGAGAAAGAAAAGGCACTGGTGAAAAGTATCAAGAAATAAGATTTCCTATTTTACTCTGGTAAAAATGCCAACAAGATGAAATTTCATTTTCTCTCTCCCTCTGTACCACTATTCTCTCCTCCCCTTCTCCCTCTCTCTTCCTCTCTCCCCCCTCCCCCCCTCTCTCTCACACACACTCTTTTCAAACAATGCAAGGCAAGATCTATTTTGCTGAGCTGAGGTGGTGCAGTGGTTAGGGTGCAGTACTGCAGGCCACTTCAGCTGACCGTTATCTGCAGTTCAGCGGTTCTAATCTCACCGACTCAAGGTTGACTCAGCCTTCCATCCTTCCGAGGTGGGTGAAATGAGGACCCAGACTGTGGGGACGATATGCTGACTCTGTAAACCGCTTAGAGAGAGCTGAAAGCCCTATGAAGCAGTATATAAGTCTAACTGCTATTGCTATTGCTTTCTTGGGCTAAAGTAAAACGTGTAGAAAAAAGTCTGAATCGGTAAATTCCCAGGATTCTACACGAACTCTTTCCTTTTCCCCCCCCCCCCCCATAGATCAATGGAGATTTGCAAATCAGACTCAGATCTGAAATGTGACCAAAATAATTTTTAATATGTGAATTAACCTAAATATAAAGAAGTCTTTTGTGCAGTGTGAAAAAGTAGTCATCATAATTATTTTCTTTGAGTTTCTAGTTTCTATTTTATGTTTGAGTGTTTATTTGCAAACCTAGGAAATCTTAATTATGACCAGCATTGTTTTCCTCAATAGTGAGCCTATTAGAAAACCACAGCCTAGTTTCCTATATATGGTGCTCAAGATGTTAAAGAAAGAGTTGGTAACTACATTCTTCTCTAAATAGAGCATCTAGTACTCCAGAATATACAAGTAGGCCAAAGTACATTGTTCCTAAAACATTTAAGGAATCAATAGACACTAGAAGATCCTACCTTGGCTCGATCTGGGATCGGTTGAGAATTAGGAGCACGCGGGCAAGATCTTGGTTCCTCATGTTGATGAGATAATTGAAGTCTTGTCAAAATCTGATTCAGAACCAAAGTAATAAGGCAATTTGGTAGCAAGTCATGTACACATTAAGAACAATTATAATGCATTAGCATTTCCTGTGTGTGAGGGGGTGCATATTATATCATCATTAAAGTCCATACCATCACAGTTCTAGACATGTTTACTAATTTTTTCTGAGTAATGACTGTAAGAAATTGTAATTCATGATCGACAGTTTATGAAACTTCTCAAACATTGAGACTCTCAGTATTTTTCCCCAGCTGAGTGTATATGTTAGACTCTACCATGAGTTGCAAACTCATCTTTGTATATTCAAGGGTAATGTCTTTATTGTATATCATGTATATATCCACCAGTGGTGGGTTTCGGATCCCATTGCAAGCAGTACGGTTGCAATGGGGCCCGGTGTCCTCCACATGAACGCATGCAGTGCGCATGTGTGCAGCGCGCGCATGCGTCCTATCTTCCAGCAACGCCTCTGTGAACCTCCGTGACACTCTGGCTGCTCAGCGGAGCAGTGTGCAGGTGCTGTATGTGCTGTGCACGGAAGCGCCGAAGAGTTTAAAGACAGGTAAGGATGACAGGTGAGTGGGTGGTCCCTCCGGAGCACCGTACCGAAACCGGTGCTCCGGGCAGGCCCTGGTACGTCCAAACCGGGGCCTACCACCTACAACCCACCACTGATATCCACCCAACTTTGGTGCCACCCAGAGAGGCAGATTGGTAGAAATGTGGGAAAGTACAGCGCAACCTGGATCGAAGAACGCCAGTTAGCCCCACAGTTCTTCTTTTCACTCTTCTTTATGAAATGATACTTTGATTTTTTTGAAAAAAATATTCAGGTGACAAAAAAAGAAATCAAGTATAACAATTAGAAGAAGGAAAATATGTTATACATATACGTTGTCCTTGACTTACAATAGATCATTTAGGGACTTTTCAAAGTTACAACGGCATTGAAAACAGTGGCATATGACCATTTTTCGCACTTACTACCCTTGCAACAGCCTCATAGTCACGTGATCAGAATTCAGACGCTTGGCAACTGACTCATATTTATGACGGTTGCAGTGTTCTGGGATCACATGATCACCTTTTGTCATCTTCCTATAAACTAATTCAATGTGGAAGTCAGATTCACTTAACAACTGTGTTATTAACTTACCAACTGCAGTGATTCACTTAACAACTGTGGCAGGAAAGGTCGTAAAATGGGGCAAAATTCACTTTAAAAAATGTCTCGCTTAGCAACAGAAATGCTGAGCAGAATTGCAGTTGTAAGTCAACAACTAGCTGTATGTGTAAAGGTGGGCGATAGATTTGGAAAGGTTCAAATTTATATTCCAAAGAAGTAATAATCATGTTTTTAGCCCAATCCTAAGTACCTGAACAATTCAGGAAAAATATGCTATAACAAACATGTTATCCTTGAAGGTGCCACAAAACTTTTGAGATGTTAATTCTGTTCTCACATAGATTTTACTGCTTAAAACTGGAGCCCGAATCTTATTAAATAATTCTGGCTCCAGAGGACCTGTTTATGCACTCTGAGAATGCAATATTTTACCTGCCAGTTTATGTACTCTGAGAATATAATATTTCACTTGCTAAAAGGCTGGTGAGGGGTTCTGGGAGTTGAAGTCCGTGCATATTAATACTACTGAGTTTGAGAAACACTAGTTTACATGATAGATCAGCCATTAAACTTCCTCTGTCAGCATTGGCAGCTTTCACTGCTCTCCTGACCTCAGCACAGTCACAATGTTTGCCAGAGTTTGCCTCTGCAAATAACACACCTCTTGGTGTAAACAAGTCCCCTGAGGATGATCTTGTCCACTGTGCTAAATGCAGGTGGCCACGTAGAAGAGTTGTTCCACCATATTTGTTTTGCTAATTGCAGCACACTCCTGGAATAGTTTTCTTTTTCCCTTTGCCTGACCAGAGAGCTCTTTAGTTCTGAGATCCTTTCTTATTTCCAGGGTTTCCCTTTCTCTGCTTGGACAGGTAGGGCAAAGCCATTGAGAAAGATGCCTCCATCTTTGCTTTCCCATCATCGTTAACATCATGCTGAATTGTACTTTTGAAAGAAAAAAAAAATGACTTCATTTATCTCACAACCACCCTGCGAAGTAGAACGCATTACGCAAAAGTGTATTTGCAGCTCAGGTTTACCTGGTGCTTGGGCCAGCAGCATCAGCAGAGCCTTAATCTTAAATGAAATTTACAAGATTGCCTTTATTTCATCAGTGCACGTATCTTCCGTCTTGTTGAAACAAGCCTGCTGAGGTCACAAACTGCTTTCATGGTAGCCAACAGATGAAAATGTCAGGGGTGAAAGGACGGCAGGCTAAACCACTGTTAGGCAAACATCCTCATTACCTTTCATGGTTGTTGGGGAGCTGCTGGTTCATGCTGGGAGAAATAACCCTCTTTATCCTTTGATGTAGTCTGACAGTAGAGCTTCAAACGTGGGTCTTATTGTAGTAAATAAATGCCAGCCCCCAGATACACTTGGTTGCAATAGACAATACAATAACAACGCTGAAATAAAATAATGCCAGTTGGCTAAGCTAAATTAGGATTCATCTCAGTCTTTCTCTTCCTAATAGCGTGACTCTGGAGGAGTCGTTTAACCCTCGTTTAACCAGTTCGGATGGACTGCTAGTAGCTATAGATTCCTAAGATGTCTGCATCATTACTCTTATCCCAAATACTGTAAACCTCTGGGTCTGCAGGCAAAAAGACGTAAAACCAGAAAGCATCACCTGTCTGGTCTGATGATATCTTTCTTCTATACAATTCAGGCACCTCCCTCCTTGAAACAGCGCTACGATGTCTTACCTCTTCTTGTCCTTGCCCCCAGTTGGGGTGAAATAAACCAGCCAAGAGCAAAGAGAGGATCCAGGGTCCTTTCAGTCTGCCCTTCATGGCTGGGAAGCAAGAGGGACGGGGCTCCTGCACCCCTTGCCCGGCCTCACTTCCACAAAAATCTGGGTTGCTGCTTGCTGTAGATGCTCTTTGTGTTTCTCCCGCTTTCTCTCTGTGTCAACACATTATCACCTTTCAGCTCAACAGCTAGTATAAAAAGGATGAAGCTAAGTATGGGTAGCCAATCATGAAGCAGCAGGGACGAGGGCTGGTCCTTTTGATATTAACTATGTGGCTTCTGCATTCCTCAAAGTCTGAGGTGACAAATGTTGCCCAGATCCTTAAGACTAATCCTTAAGATTAAATTCCTGTAAATTGGAATTAATGCTTCATTCAACAAGTGGCACTGAATTAAAGAGAAAATCTGAGAACAGATTCCAAAGGGTCATTTAGAAGATGGTCTTTAGAATAAAATGACTCTGAAATTTGTAGGCTGAAGAAAATCATACCCTGGATCTCTTCTGCTGTAACTGAATAAGGTAGTCCTCAATTTACGATCACAATTAAGCCCAAAATTTCTGTTGCTAAGCAAGACATTTGTTAATTGAGTTTTGCCCCATCTTACAAGCTTTCTTGTCTCATCTGTTGAGTAAATCACTGAAGTTGTTAAGTTAGTCACACAGTTGTTAAATGAATCTGGCTTCTCCATTGACTTTGCTTGTTGGAAATGTGATCACATGACCACGGGACACTGTGACCGTCATAAATATGAACCAGCCACCAAGCATCTGAATTTTGATCACGTGAGCATGGGGATGCTGCAATAGTTGTAACTGTGAAAAATGGTCATAAGTCACTTTTTTTCCAGCACCATTG